CGTTTAGGGATAGTAGTGCTCTAAGGCTCCCTAAATTTGAACCTCGATACTTCGATGGAAACCCAGCCGACTACCCACAGTTTATCAAAGAGTTTGAGGTCATGTTGGGTGGTTTTGTATTAAATGACGAAATGAAGTTAATGTATTTGTTGAGGTATTGCACTGGTGTGGCTGCAAGAGCCATACAGTGCTGCAAGTTTATGTCCCCGAACGAAGGATATACTGAGGCAATGAGGATACTACGTCAAAGGTTTGGGAAACCATTTATGATATCCCGTAGTATTTTCGAGACAGTGAAAGGTAATGGATCACAGTTAAACGATAATTCAGAGGAACTCGCAGAGTTCTTGGACAGTTCAATGGTATATAGAAATACTCTCGTGTCTCTTAATTGCGTAGATGAATTGAATTCAAGTTCCGTGCTTGAGACTGTTGCCAAGAGATTACCGGATCGTCTACAAAGAAAGTTCATAAAGGTTAGTTCCCGGCTAGAGGAAGATGGTTTGGAGCCTGGATTCGAAGATATTGTGAGCCTGGTGAAAGACAGTGTCAACCAAGCTATGAGCAAGTTTGCTAGTATACTGCATCCCACCCCTGGAATAGAGAAATCAGAGAGCAAAACGCAATCATTTATGACGAAAGGGTCTCAAGGAAGTGGATATCGAGAAAGCTGTATGGTGGCTAGTAATCCATACAAACCTAATGAGTGTGACAGCTTTCGTGGGACGTCCCCAACAGATAGGTTACAAGCTGCAAGACAAACACGGTTGTGTTTCGTCCGTTTGCAAGAAGTGCATACAAAAGCGAACTGTGAAGCAGTGAGCAAGTTTAGTGGTAAGCTAAATGTGAAGTCAGCGTCATCAAGTTCTGACTCCGAATCGTGTGACGATAATGGTGCGGTTAAGAAGCCTGTAGTTGCAACTGGTAAGCCATTGTTGAATAGAGTGTCATGGACGACACCGCAGTTTGTGCAGAAGAAGAGAGTTACAGTTTCAGAGTCCACTTCTGACTCCACAAGTTTACAAGGTATTACTAGTCAGAGTAAAGGTATAAAACCTTTAAGGATTCATGAGGAAGAACCTAAGTCATCTACGGCTGTTATTAAAGAGTTTGAAAATGATGAAGTCGATCATACAAACGGCGGTAAAGTGGATATTTGTGACAATGGTCATGATAGTGCACATTTGTCTTTGGCTGATCATGATGAGGTGAGCGGAAGGCCTACTACTACTGAGTTGAACAAAGGTTCTGTACAACTTGAACGTGAAGTAGAATTAAAGGCAGATGCGGTTGCAGAAGGTATGGATACTCGTGAGACCGTCAGTGTAAATGATCCGCGTGTAGTCCACCTATCGACAGACGTTAAAGCTGAACTGGAGCTAATAATAAAGGATAGCAGTGGTGGTAATCTTGCGGTTAGACAACTTTCTAAAGGTCGAACAACAACAGCTTCTGATGCACCGCTAAGTTCATCAACTTGTATCACTCAGTCGTCGTTGGTGTTGTCATCCACATTGAAGGTGACTTCCATAAAGTCATGTGTCTCGTGCTGTGACTATGCTAGTATCAGTTCGTTTGAAAGGACGAAAGTCAATGGCCAGTTTAGTGATGATAAGCCAACTGTGTACGAGAGGGTGATTATTAAACTGACTTCCACGAATAAAAGCCTTTCAGGTTTCATGTTACTATTTGAATGTTATTATCTTTGGTGTAAATTACTCTGTGCCTTCGCTTGGTTGGTCAGATACGTCGTATGCTTGTTAGTCATCTACATTCCACGATACAATGTCATGGGCGTGTTACCATTCAGAGTTGAGGATATAGATGATGGAAGGAGGTCAGCAAATGAACTCAACGACGATTTTCCAACTTAAGGGCGTCAACCTGAGAAGGAATGTAGGCGTACTGCTGTAAGTCCTACAGTCCTTCAAGGGTAGCTCGTAGAGGCAGAATCCACAACATTTGATGTATTGATTGTACATATGTTTGTGTTAAAAAATTAAATGGGGTTCCAATTCATCTAATTGTTGGTTTATTTAAAGTTGTCGCATTGTATGAGTCATCTTGTAATGTTTTTGTAAGTACTTCTGAAGTCGTTTCTAGTCTTCTAACTTGTGAACGAATCGAGTAGTGTTAGAGTCAGTGTATGCGATTTGATACGCCGGGGAGAGGATTGTGCCAGAGTGGTATGAAGCAACCAACACTTCGTGAACCAGATCAATGGTGGAACTGTCGACAGAGAGCTAAGATCCCACACGCCGGGGAGAGCGTGCCTGTGTGCTGTGGTATGCTTGTTGTGTGTTGGGGTTTTTGTCTTGCCTTTCCATTTTAGCCTAGTCCCGGTTAGCCCAGGTTCCCGCGCTGGCAGTTCAGTTCAAGGTTATCGACGCTATGAAAAAAGGGGATGCACCCTTTTTTGCCGGGGAGTGTCAATGGACGTGAACGTTGAACGTTTGTTTATTGGAACTGGTAGCCATTTCGGTGGGCAACTCGAAGGCGCGAATGGTTCGATCGTGTGCAAGTTCGCAGAAGACGGAAGAATACGAATAAAAGTACTTTATAATTTTATTTGTACTAAACATTTGTTTGTAGACTTGTATCAATCTTTACTTTAATTGCCAAACAATATAACTTCCTTCTTACAACCACTGGTGTTTTGGAGTTGAAGTCGAGAAAATACATCGTAATTATCGGTTCCGAGCGTCTTCGTTACAAAAGGAACTTAGGGCTAAGTTCCTTGACAACCTACATGGCTGGCTGGCTGGCTTAAACTAACTGTTGTGGATTTCATTGACGATGAAGCCATGTTTTGGTTTGACCACCAGTGGCTCTTTCCCAGCCTGACACTATGTCAGCTAACATTGCCTGTGGAGGGAGGTGATGACTAGGTATACTAAACGTTTCTCATAACCATCTCAGTCGATTTAGCTTAACAGCCTCGTCGATTGATTTCCACTCCTTAACTAGCACTCGACGCCTAACCTCAGTGTTGCTTACCCTATTATACCACTTGATACACACGGGAGATAGAACGCAGGCACCTATGATCAAAGACAGACAGTCAGGCTGTTCATGTCTTCCACTCTCAATGGCAAGGTCTCACCCACAGCCATAAAGGAGGACGGAGCGAACTGCTGAGCAGTACACACGCCCTTTAGTCGATAGCCACCCAGATATCACGTCTACGCCAGAGACGGCGTAAACTGACACATGCGATACTAGCCTTCTGTATCCGTTCTGAGATTTCGTCAGCGATTAACCCGTTGGCATTGCCTGATGCAACTCCTCAAATAAGTGAAGCGGTCAACACGCTCCACTAACCACTTCACTCCTGCCTATTTCTAAGCTAGGAGTCAATGTAGTCCAGTCCAGTCCTGTAGCATCATCTTACATTTGACAGCAGGAGCGAATCGCATGCCAAATATCCGCAGATTGTAGCTCAAGGTGTTCCGCTCTATTTTGTCAGCGTCTTCACCCAGAAGGACTATATCATCTGCATATTCTAAGTCAACGAGATTATTCCCTGACAACAACAACAACAAGCACCAAATACTATCAACGGAAGTAAATGTGAAGGAGATCACTCCCTTCACTTATCTATCCGACAGTATCGTTTCAGCTACAGCCAACTTTACACGCGGATTGTTTTAAAACTAGGAACGGAAAGGTAAGACAGATATTGATTAATTCTTAAGTCAGTTTGGAAATTCACTGAGCTCAGCATAGAGAACGAGATTCAGATTTTCAATACTAATATCAAGTCAGTCAATATAGCCCAGAGAATTGGCGTGTCAACAAAGCGATTCCCCACCGGGCTTCAAACTTTCATGAACAGCTATCTTTACTCCACACTAGCCATCCAAGAGTCTATCGCCCAACAGATATGCAGAAGAAGACAGAGATGGGTTAGACATACACTAAAGAGGCCATCGGGTGACATCGCCCACCAAGCAAGTCCCCGAGTGGAATCCGAATGTGAAAGGACGAGTTGGATACCTGAGTGTGAGGTGGAGGGGACTGATTGGCAACGAAATCTCAGCACGGATCCAAAAAGCTCGAGCTGCTTTCGCTAACTTACACCATCTCTGGCGTAGGCGTGACATCCGGCTATCAACCAAGGGACGTGTATACTGTTCAGCAGTTCGCTCCATCCTTCTCTATGGCTCTGAAACATGGCCAATATGAGTTGAAGACATGAAAAGGTTGACTGTTTCTGATCATAGATGTCTACGATCTCTTTCTCACGTTAGGTGGTATAATAAGGTAAGTAATGTTGACGTTAGGCGTAGAGTGTTGGTTGGGCAAAGAGGGAAAATCAATCGACGAGGCTATAAAGTTACATAGATTGAGATGGCTAGGTCACGTGCTGCGCATGCCTAACCATCGCCTCCCCCGACGGACGGGCATTACTAGCTGATATAGGTGCAGGTTGGAAAAGAGTAAGTGGTGGTGGCCAAACAAAAACATGGCCTCATCAATCCATGAAATCCTTGACAGTTAAACTGAGTCAGGGAGGGAGGGAGATGCAGACTTCCGGGTTGGGGCCCGCCCTCGGAACTTTAAGAATCAATGGCTGGAGACAATAGGTGACATGGCTCAAAATCGTTGTCAATGGCTTACGCAGATGTAGTCAGTCTCTGTAATCTTTCATATTCCTTTCTACCATTACTCATTCTGTTTCACTCTTATACTTGTCAAAACTCTATTAATTCTCTTCACTCATTTTCTTGTCCACGTTTGTGTGGTATTTCAAAGGTGGCAACTCGAAGTGCTGCACCTCGGTGACGAGTTATATGTTGAATCCAGACAGACAGACAGACAGGAGGGGACGGTGTGATGAGGTGAGAGCTTAAAAGTAATCGTCGAGCCAATTAAGGACGACTGAGGAAAACAGGATGAAATAGAGATACTTTTTTGAAGCTCTCTGATCCACTCAGAACCCAAGGGAATAATAATAATAGCAATATTAGCTACATTACAAATACATATACAACACTCACCTTATCAGAATGTGCTTTAATCCGTTGAGCAGCATACGCCATTGAATAAAAGGATACAGCATGACTGTCAATGAGGAGAACACGAAGTTGATGGCTGAATTTCTCTGTTTCATCTAATGCCCAACTGTAGAATTCTAAAATGAGAAATATTCATATGTTTCATACAAACCAACTGAGTAGTTAGTTAGTTAGTACTCATCTATGCAGTACAAGTTTCTATTGTACCAGACTATGAGCTAAGTATGCTATGTGGGAACTGATAACACTAGTCAAATGTCCAGAAAGAAGTAGGATGGGCAGGATTCGAACTCAAACTGCTAGTTGAGTAGCATGTAAAAGAAGATGGCGACCACAATCTAAAGTTCACAAAATAACTATTCAGACAACTGTGGTGTACGCTACTGATAAGATTTATCAGTAGTATATAATATAAATAAATAGACGTTCATCGGTACAAAAATATCAAATAGCAAGGAGATACATTTGAGGTCAGAGAAGGCAAATGATACAGCAGCGTTGCAGAGATACATGGGAGATCACGTGAAAGGGACACAAAGAGACACAATACGAAGGAGTGGGGCAGAAGTAGCACACTACGGAAGGTCTGTGCAAATGATGATTTGAAGATAAGGCGTATGTAATTTTGCTATATGGAGATACCAAATTCCAAATAAGCATTCCTTTACGAAGTCTCTTGTCTTACACAACCAGTCTCATAGTAGACAGTGCGACACCACACGATTCTTAAAAGCCTTACACACACATTCGATATGAGGAAGTCTCTCTTGGAGTGCTATTTACTCCGAGAACAGATCTTGCGTATGCACCAGTGTATACGCCATATTTATCGCAAGGTAACTTGACTAATATTACTCAGTTGTCCAGGATGAAGTATACAAAGATTATCCCTGACAATTCAATAAGATTAGTGTGAATCATTGGTCTTATTATTATTATTATTACTATTATTGTGTCCTTTAATTCCTAGAGGAACATAGGGCTTCAGCCGTGCGTCTCCATTGCGTTCGGTTCTCTGCTAGAGTCTTCACCTGGCTCCAAGTCTGCCCATACGTTTTCATCTCCTCTTCACATGACCTCCTCCAAGTCACCCACCCTTGCACTGACGACCAACTCGCCGCTTCCCTTTCGGGTTCCACTCAACAATGGCTTGTCTAGCGATGTCACTTGATGGTTTCCTCAGAGTATGGCCAGTCAATCCATCTCCATTTCTTCCTGCCTATTTGTTTCACAATCGGTTCCTGGTTGGTTCGCTCATTGCCAGAGATCCCTGTTGCTGATCTTTTCTGACCGGCCATCTGATCTTGAGTATTGAGCGAAGACAACTGTTAATGAAGGTCTGTAGTTTGTTTGAGATGCTCTTTATGACGCGCCAAGTCTCTGATCCGTATAGCAAGTAGCACTGACTGACTTCACATTGGAGTTGAAAATCCGGATCTTATTTTTCACTCTGAGTGCTGACCGTTGACCTCCACACAGACTTGAGAGTAATGAAGGCTTGTCTTGCTTTCCCAATCCTCGTTACTTGGATATCCTCATCAGTTCAGTCCACCTGTAGTTGAAACGATGCTTTCCAGGTAGGTATGTAAAGGAATTTGTTTCTTTCGGATTTCTCCTATTTATGTTGATTGTTGTCTGTTGTTGTTGTTGCTGTTGGTGTTGCCCAGGAATCTTCATCACCTCTGTTTTCTCCATGTTCACCTGAAAACTTATCTTCTCTGGATGCTTCTTCTGTCAACTTGTTGCTTTTCGCTTGCATATCTTCCAGTTTTTGGTAAATCAGACACATATGTGCTATCGGCGAAGTCCATATCCTCCAAGCTTTTTGTGTGAGTCCATTTTATGCCTGTTTCCTCATTCCCCGCTGTTTGTCGCATTATCCAATCTTTTGCAATCAGGAAAATCATTGGCGATAGTAGGCAGCCAGCTTGTCTTACTCCTGTCCTAACTACGAAGGATTCTGTAAGTTTCCCGTTGTGGATTACTTGGCATGCAGCATTGTCGTACAACTGTTAGATGAGATGTATAATTATCGGTGGCACACCGTAGTAGCGTCACCTCAGCCTATAAGAAAGAGCACGAGTCATTCCAAGATAAATACAGGATAACTGATCTGACCAAAAATAGTACCACTTCATAAATTCACTAGTTGCTGCTGTGAGTCGTCAACATAGATGTGAAGGTACTTTTTCTATTTAGTGCCAACAACCAGTGTAAGATTTGAAATGCCACCCCCCCCACCCTACATTCATCATTTAACCTCTTTATTATTTCTGCAATTCCAATTTCCATCTTTCATAAACAATCATAATTATTTAATTGAATTTTAGATTTTCCCGTCAAAGTGCTCGGTCTCAGGTTGACATGTCTGTCGCCTTTTTGTGCAGATACTTCGACGATGTCTCGGCATGTAATTAGAAGTTAATTGTGGATGGTGACTAGCAGTGGAATCCAACCAGGATGTGCATTTCTTCCTATTTGGGACTCGTTGATGGCTGGATGTACCTGCATTCCGCAGTGGATGATGATGTTCCCACCGTTGGCGTTTGAGACTATGGGCACTGGGTTCGAGCCTCGGTGGGAACATCATCACTCACTGCAGAATGCAGGTACATCCACCAGACGGGTCCCAAAAAGGACGAAATGCGCGTTATCCTAGATTCCACTGTTAGTCACCATCCACCAATTAACTTATAATCATAATTATTCATTACAACAGCATTTCTGTGTATCTGTTCACTTCTTTTATTTGCGTTTTTTTTCAAAAAACAAAAATACTTGGCAATCTGAAATAATGCGAATTTCAACCTTGACTTATCTGCCTGTCTGTCTATCTATCCATCCATCCATCCGAAGTAACCAATCATCGCGCTTAGATTTTCAGGTGATGCTTTGCACGGATTTGATTGGTTGCAAATATGATCATGAACTGACTTCAGCTAGAGAACCACTGAAAACCAGAGGGTGCTAGACAGCAGTCTCATTGTTATTTGCGACTCTTCAGCGGCAAGCACCAATGACCTTACCGGAGATAGAACCCAGCACCATTCAGGTTACAAGGCGAACTCGTATACCATTCAGTCAGTTGGACAGAATTCAAGGGCTCATCAATTCCAATTGGCGACCGCTACCTAGTGTCACCGGTGACTATCTGTCCTCATGCCGAGCTTGGTGGACTCCACTGATCACTTAAACTATTAGAAGACGACACCAAAAAGCAACCTGAGGAGTAAGCTCAACAGCTCCCCCTCCTGTTTTTGTACTTTCCAGTGTGGTTAATAACACAAATTAATAATAATGATAATTTTCTATAGTTTGGTTTGTAAGGGTTAGTTTTGTTTCTTACGAGTTGATCACAGATTGATATCAGTTAGAGAACTATTGAAAACCAGCCACAGGGAGCACTGGACAGCTGTTTCATTCTAGTTTGGGAATCATCGGCAGTACGTACCCACCACCAGGGTTCGAACCCAGGACCTCCCGGTTACAAGGAAAGCTCGAACATCATTCAGCCACTGGGACACTATTCAATGCCTAGCCCATGAATTCTAACTTCTACCAATTCGTGATTTAGCGCGACCCCAACAAGTGGCGTCAATGGAACATCCGTCCTCACACTTGACTGGATGAACCTCACTGGTCACGACTTATCACTAGAACTCCAGGAAACTCCATCCAGTGGGTGCGTACTGCCGATGATTCCCAAACTACGATGAAACAGCTGTCCAGTACTCCCTGTGGCTGGTTTTCAATGGTTCTCTAACTGATATCAATCCGTGATCAACTCGTAAAAAAAATAATGATAATGACAATAATAATAACAAAAGTTTCACAATTCAACACCCGACCACAACTTACTTAAAGAGCAGATATTTTCAAATTGTTGTTTTGATACACCCATAGATTTTGTAGCAAGAATTTCACCTAACGGTTCAACAACACTTTGACGCCATTCAGCCAATGTTTCAGCTAAATTACGATGAAATGTAAGCGATAGTTTATTCAAATAGATCAGTTGATTGCCTTCTTGATGAACACCGTGTGTCAGTGCTTTAGTCATTACTTGTGATCGATAGACTAGAAATAATTCAGCGGCAAGTGTAGCTTTACCAAGTAGACCTAATTGAGTAACAGCTGACTTCACAGATTTTGGTGCACCTAATATAACGAAAAGAGGAGAGGAGATTAGCATAACAAAAAAAACAACAGTCGAATATACAAACAAACAAACAGAAATGAATGTGTATTATACCATAATAAATAACCGGGATAATTTGAGGAAAGACACTAGGAAGTATCTTGATTCTATTATGTTTAGATCAGAAAGTAAGAAAAGGAGCAGACGTTGGCCCAGACCACTATCTCTACAACCGAAACTCCAAATCGAATTAAAAACTTCCAAAGAAACAGGAGCTGCAAATAGACCACAAGCCAAGTGGAAGATATGCAAGTTAAAGGCAACAAGTTGGCGATAGAAGAAGAACTGTTGCTTTGAAGGCATATAGGTGGTTTAAACTTCCTAACTTCCCAAACTTTACGATACGCCTCAAACAGTATCTTAATCAGGACAGTATCTTAGTTATCATAGTTTCTGTCCTGTTTGGTACAAAAAAGCCTTAGTAAGGTGCCTCTTCAATAGAATTCAATGAATAAGCGCTAAAGAAGGTTGATGCAAATTCTGGTTGATAACAATTATCCAAACAAATTTTATTAGGAGATATAAAGTAGTCAGAACACCAAGACACACTCTCCAACTAGCAGCTAAGGAAAAAGTGTACATCAAGCTACCCTATATGGTTGACAACTAGACAAAGACTGAATACTGTGATTAAAAAGACTTTTTATGCAGCTAAGATCAGAATAATTGAGAATGTGAAACCAATATATCCATCTAAGCCTTTAGAACATGCGAAAAATGATGTCACATCCTAACTATAAGACGTATTGGACGGCGGGTGCATCCTAAAGTTTGTGGAAGCCCTAACTGGTAATTAGAAAGTTTAAACCACCTTTATGCGTACAAAGCAACAATTCGTCATCACATTAAACCACCTTCCTTGGTAAACTTTGTTTTGATGCCAGCCAAAGCAGATGTACTATTACCTCTGTTATTTGGTTTAGTGATCTTCATTGTTATTTTGACCTTCAATATGTCCTTTTAACTTGACCTAAGTCTATTTTCTCACCTCTTAACTCTTTATTAATTTCATATATATTCTTATGACAAGTCCGTGTGTGATCAGATTGTTTGAAATGTGTTGTGCACGAAAATACACATTACACGATTCAGACAAATTACATCTTCCTTCTTATTGCTTTATCTAAATTCATAAAGGGAACTAATTGTTTTAAATAAATCAAATCACCAACAGTCACCAGCCATTGGATCTTAGCCTCCAGAAGAACCCAGTAAAAGGCAGTCTCAACCTCCCTAGGTATCGCCGAAAAACCAACAGCCAAAGATTTCATTGAAATAATAAATAAGTCATATATCATAGAGAACACTCTGCTCGACATAGAAGGCGATGGCCACTACAATCACAGTGTTAGCTAGTAGGCGGATTGAATTAACTTCACAAGGTGGATTGCGTTAAGCATCAAAATCGGTTAGAATACCACTACAAACCAATAGGCACTTGGACAGCTTGATTTAGGATCACTCATCATCAGTACCAACCAACAACAACAACATCCAGCGCCAATCACCATCAACGGGAGGGATTTGAAAGAGGTTACTTCATTCACTTATCTAGGAAACATTGTCTCAACTACAGGAGGAACGGACGAAGATGTCAAATCGAGAATCGGGAAGGCGAGAAACACATTCATCAACCTGAAACCAATCTGGAAATCTTCGTCACTCAGCCTACATCAACAACAAAATTCGGATTTTCAATACAAACGTCAAGTCAGTCAGTTCTTCTATACGTTCGGATCAGAAACTTGGCGGGTCACAAAGAATATTTATTTCCATCAGGTTGCAGACCTTTATCAACAACTGTCTTCGCTCTATACTGAAGATTAGATGGCCGGAAAGAACAATAACAAACAAGAAACTATGGGAAGAAACAAAACAAGAACCAATCGCCCAACAAATATGCAGGAGAAAGTGGAGATGGATTGGACACTCACTGTCTGAGGAGGCCGCTGGGTGACATCGCGCGTCAGGCCATTGCTCGAGTGGAACCCGAAAGGGAAGCAACGAGTGGGACGTCCAAGGGTGACATGGAGGAGATCGTGTGAAGAGGAGTTGAAACAGTATGGAATAACATGGATGCAAGTGAAAAGTACAGCAGAAGACAGAAGCAAGTGGAGACGTGCAGTTGAAGCCCTATGTTCCACTAGGAACCCAAGGGAACAATAATAATAATAATCAGTACCCACACTCTGTTATCTTAAGGTTCAGGGTTCGACCCCCGATAAAAGGAAATGAAATGAAATGCTTAGCCATATATATGAATGAATAAAAAAAAATAAGTCATAAATAATGTATATACACATACCATGTCTACAAGCAGCTGAAATTAACTCATATTGTAATGATTGTGTAAGATTGCATTCATTGCGTTCAATACGTTTTGATAATTTCTCCCAATCTGTTTTCAATCTATAATCAACTGTATCAGATTGTTGATTTCGACGAATAGAATTTCTTACTGATGAATTCATCGCATCCTCTTCTCTAGACGGTTTCGATATATCTTCAGTAAGGATTTGATTTAAGGCGTCTTTGGCTTTAACAATTAAATTTGTAGCACGTAGAAAATTTCTCTCTGATATGGCTACATCTAAATCTTCTGGAACATCCCATAGCCAATTATGACGTGATTTATGCTTGCCAATATTTGTTGTGCGAGATTTTATATCTAACGATAAATGAAGAAAGTAAAAAAATTTTTAAAAAAACGATGGTAAGGAGTTAAATCATAGAGTAACATAAGTAGAACTTTTGGACATTTTTTTGCGTTCCAAAAGTGCAGCTATAAGGCTTCAAGCTTTTAACGCTAAGATTCTCAATAAGGCGGGAAGTAGAGTGGTGGCATTCAAACCTACAAACTCACTCACTCAGGCAGGGACAAGCTCCATAGGCTAAGAGACCCAGTGGACCCAATTCAACAGAATAATATAATTTACAAAATACCTTGCAATGACTGCGATTGAGGTCAACTACATAGGTGAAACTAGTAGGTCGGGGGTTGTCAGATTACCTGTAAGAACATAAGAATTCAGCTAAGGTAAGAATGGTTGAACCGATGAAGATAAGTAAATTAGAAAAAAGCTCAGAAATTGCACTGCATTCATTAACACAACCAAACAGTAAGGTGGAAGAGGATTAAAATTATAAAAAGTAATCTAGGTAGGTAGAAAGCGAGAGAGATTGATTACTGAATCCTGCCTGGTTCATCGAGTCTACACCTAACACATGTGCAATAGGAGCGACTCAACGCAAATACCAGAGATATAGGAGATATTATTACCACCAGTCAGTCAAATCAGAGGAGGATAATAAACAACCTTAAAATTCTACTTCAATTCACATATATCAATAACAAGTTACTTATTTATTTTGACTATAAAAACACTCGTCTTATTTCCCATCTGATTGTATTTGATTGATATCACTCATATTATTATTTCTGAATGTACATTATCTTATATTGATTTTTATTCAGGTGTCTAATCATCTATTTCACTCATGTATACAAATGAAGCAAGAAAGTTGTGTGAGTGAGTGCCTTGATATGATTATGAGCAGTAATATTACTGTATAACACTCCACTGTGTGATTTATCAAAATAAAATCTTATCTATAATGGAGTTATACTCCACCACCACAGTGCCCAATAAGTTTCAGCAACATTTGTGTTACTTTTACGAGGTGAGGTTGCTAGCCTCACGTTCAATCTTCCCTCTTTGCCGAACTTACTACCGATTAGGAGTGCATTGGGCAGGAGTCGAACTCTGGACCACACTAGTATCTGGTAGGCATTTTAACCCCAAACCATCACAACCCTATCAGCGATTGAACCGAAGACCAACGATGTTACAAGGAGAGCTCGATGACCGTTCAGTCAATGGGACAATATAAGTGTTGCAGAGAATTATTAAAAAATTAAGTAATATTTAGACATCTGTTCCATAGCGCACACAATCTCATCAGCGACCGAATTAGGTCTAATCACACACTCTCTTTCCCTCTGTCTCTTTCAGTCACCGGGGTTTGAAATCTCATGATTCTTGCAGTATAGCTTCTGTTGACTCGCTCTATATACCACCACCGACAGCCAGTGTCGTCGGAGAGACTTCAATTGCACACACACACACACTCGGCGCTGAGATGGTTAGGATACGTGTTACGTATGCCTAGTCATCGCCTTCCTCGACTAACGGGCAATGTTAGCTGATATAGGGTCAGGCTGGAAAAGAGCTAGCGGCGGTCAAACGAAAACATGGCACCAGTCAATAAAATCAACAACAGATAGTCTGAGCCACATAGGAAGGTGTAGACTTCCTGGTTGGGGTCCTCGGGACCAATGGTTAAAAACAATTGGTGACATGGCTCAAAATCGTTCTCAGTGGCTAGCGCAGATGCATCCACTCCTTGTGACTTATGATTTTCAATTAAACTGTTTTATTCTTCGTTATTACTATTCCTTTGTCTCACACCTCTGTTTACTGTCTCTAATATGCATTTCTTCTACTGTCTTCTCTTGCTTTGTGTGCTTCATGGAGTGTGGCGACTTGACCTGCCGCACATATGTGCAAAGTTTTATGTCGAAAACAGACAGACAGACAGACTCGGCGTTTTGTACAAGCTATCCGTCACGACTTGACTTCATAGCAGAATTTCAAGACATCCATGCTGAAACTAGTCATTGATCAGGGTAGTCAGTTTCTATGACAGTTTCGTATGTATCGTTTCAAAATAATCTTTGAAGAGAATTTATAATTGAATTAATTGGTTCTTAGACAGTAACGCATACCGGTATTTTCTTGTCATACAATGTACAAGGCGCATGAATTTGATTTTCATTTGAAGAAAGAAATAATGAATGTGTGATGACTAACTGGTTTCAACACAGAACTTCGCACAGATGAATGTGTAATCCAAGACGGGCAATCAATACTACTACTTGTGGTGGTGTGATACAAACAATGTGCGCCAATGGAATGTTATTCTCACATGTTCCCACAAATCAATACTGCATTGGTAACAGAATACTATGTTTATTTGAAGATTCTATTTATTGTCGTTTGATGTAGACCGAAATCACACGCCCAGTAATTGGTTAACGAAATAAACTATAGATATATAAAGAGGTTTGATTAATGAAAAATATACCTTGACTTCCGTGTCTTGTCTTCTGTTGTTACACTACTACTCACTCCATTTTTCCAAGCAAGTGGGGACATGTGGTGCACTGACATTAGCACTTGGCTTTCAGTCGCCAAGTGTTAGTGTTCCAGTCCGGCTTCGATATCACTTCTACAACACTATAATTAAGTGAGCCTAATAGCCTGAGGGTCTCTGTCTGTCTGGATTCAACATAGAACTTGCCACCGAAGTGCACCACTTCGAGTTGCCACATTCCAAATACCACACAAAGGTAGACAAGAAGATGAGTGAAGAGAATCAATAGAGTTTTGACAAGTATAAGAGTGAAACAGAATGAGCAATGGTAGAAAGGAATATGAAAGATTACCTAAGAGACTGAATACATCTGCGTAAGCCATTGACAACGATTTTCAGCCATGTCACCTATTGTCTCCAGCCATTGATTCTTAGAGTCCCGAGGGCGGGCCCCAACCCGGAAGTCTGCATCTCCCTCCCTACCTGACTCAGTTTAACTGTCAAGGATTTCATGGATTGATTGATGCCATGTTTTTGTTTGGCCACCACCACTTACTCTTTTCCAACCCACAACACCTATATCAGCTAGTAATGCCCGTCCGTCGGGGGCAGGGAGGCGATGGTTAGGCATGCGCAGCACGTCACCTAGCCATCTCAATCTATGTAACTTTATAGCCTCGTCGATTGATTTTCCCTCTTTACCCAACCAACACTCTACGCCTAACGTCAACATTACTTACCTTATTATGCCACCTAACGTGAGAAAGAGATCATAGACATCTATGATCAAAAACAGTCAACCTTTTCATGTCTTCAACTCGTATTGGCCATGTTTCAGAGCCATAGAGAAGGACGGAGCGAACTGCTGAGCAGTAGACACGTCCCTTTATTGAATAGCTCACCCTGCTTAACTAACACTCGACGCCTAACCTCAATATTACTCATTTTCGATGGCCGAGTCTCACAGCCAATAAAGGAGGATAGAATGGCCATTGAAAGTGGAAGATATGAATTGACCACAGATGTCTGCGTTCTATCTCCCGTGTTAATTGGCATAATATGATGAGATTAGCGATTACGTTTTTATTTGTCGTAGTCTATTAGGGTCGTTTTACCGACCATATCATTTAGCTGACATATAAAAACATGAATTTATTATCCATACGGACAAAAGAGAGTAAGGCAGATAACTTACTGTCCCCTGAATCATCAAAAGGATTCTTTTTCGTTGATAAGTCTAACTGATCGATAGGTGTTAAAAGGTCTGCACAGTCGGGTAGAGTAGACGACAACGCCTTATGACCAGCTAGAGTAGCTTCAGCAGATACTTTTGGCGGTTGCATTGTCAACTTCATAGCATTCGTGTTCAAACTGCCTGCAGATATGTCAGATGAGATACTTGTATCATATTTTAGATTTGGATCATTATATGATTGAGAAGTTCTATGCTTACGCATTGTAGCATCCAATAGAGTGAGCCAACGTTTCTAAAAAAAGAAAAAATTAAAACATATTCATCATCAATAAGTCTGTTATTGTTCTGATTCCCGTTAGATAGTTCTTACCTTGCTTGACGTGGTGGTCGAGTATGCGTATCACAATGACACACAATGTGAGCTACACCTAGCTGGAACAAATGTTTCTACAGGCCCTACCATACCAGCAAGGTTGTTTGGATAGCAATTACACCGACAGCAGTTACCGTCATAGTGTAGACTGTGCACACTATGCTGGGTGTCTGTAGGCGAAGTCATACTGCGTAGGAAACAGGGATGTAACAGAGGTAAGGTGTTTCCCTCAGATGATCAGCAGCATGTCAGCTATACTTCTTATTCTCTCTGGACAGCGGGAATTAGGAAAGGTCGACCTTGAAAACTGAACATCCTGACTTACCCTGCGGCGATCCGTAGCCGTTGGTAAGGTCTTAATACGGACACCAATTCAAAAAGGCCGTGTATGACCGGCATCAAGCAGTTGTTTCCTAAGCTTTGCAGTAACGCGATACTAATTATATTTCTGTATCAGGTACCCCAAGAAAAAACCAGCTTCCATGGTGTGGGCAGCCCGGAAGTAACGAAACCACACACACACACACATCTAAAAGCTCACAAAGCTCACTTGATCACCACTTATTGTTCTAATTATCTAAAACAGCTTTAATGTATGTGTAAAACTTGGGCACTGTGGTAGTAAGTAATTCCATATTAGTTTGTTTATTAGATATATCACACAGTGATGAAACAGTATTATTATTTACTGGATGACAAAGTTTCGAACAAAATTTATTGTTCATAATCGTATCAATTATGTTCACACCACTTCGAGACTTGAGTTTTACAGTTTTCTTTGTTCTCTCCTATTTGTCGTCGTAGGGGTAGTAGAATTTTCCGAAATATCTGGGACAGGTGTTCAATCATTCTTATTACACGTATTTGCACTTGATTCGGTAAACAAAGCTTCCGCTGTCATCAGTCTCTCCCTCCACCCTGCTACATTAAATTTTAAAACTGTCATATTATCCCATCCAGGCTATTGTATGGTTGTGCGTAATTGCATGTAGTGAGTGATATAGCTGAACTATTCTCTAGATTTCTTATTTTATTTGCGTCAACCAATCTAGATTTTGCTAGGTTTTTATGCTCGGCTAGTCTGACTGCCCCTGTTCTACTACTTTGACCTATGTATTTGACCTGACAATTATTCCAGTAGTGTATCAGATAAAATAAGTTGTTTTGTTTTAAAGGCTCCACAGGTTTGATCCTTTAACCGACAAAGCTTGTTTCTAATTGAGTTTGTGGGTGGTTTGAATACCAGCCACTTTTATTCCTGCCTTGTTAAGAATTCTGTGTAAGGCTTCCTTGTATGGAATTACTACTGATGATTTAGATTCCTTATTGTTAAACAGCTTTAGTTTGGAAAAAATGATGTAATCAGCACGATACTTGAAACTGAAATAGGGAAATCAGTAGACTGCAGACTGAAATATCGTCAAAAAACCAAACTTTTCATCTTAGCATTAAATGATTATCTTAGTGAACACCATTCTATTTACAGATGTCAAACATACTAGTATGTAGCACAAATCTATCGTTGGTAAACATAACCATGGGGGAACAAGTACTTCAACTGTTCTGCACAAAGATGACTAATTGTATAAACTGTCTGTCTGTCTGTTGGGGCGTAAGCGGAGACTACGAAAAGACAACGACGGATAGCGCTATCTTTCCTTCTTTTAATGGACCTATTCAGACAAACCGCACACATACGACTATCTACTGGGATCCAATCGAGAAGTGATTTTTCCGCCCTAACACTCAGTGCTATCCCTACACCTTCGAGTCCTCGCAAGCTAGCTAAGGGGTCTCCTGACACCCCTTAAAGTGAATTTTGCAGATTCACCTTGTTGACCGAGTGAGGTTAAATGAATGACCACATTCGGGTCTTGTATGCGTGTCTCCGAAATACAACATACATCCATGGCTCGAGATGCCAGAGTTCTTGCTAGTGATGCCTGTTGTCCGATTTGGCAGAGGCTTCTGATGTTAAATGCTCCTATATGAAGTTGGCGGCGTGGCTTTAAAAGGTCATCTGGGGTGTTTCTATGGCTCTCACCGTTGTTTGTGGTCACAGAGTGAAGTGAAGATGACTCACTAGCCTGCAGAATAGTACTAACTGTAGTAGGGAAGCAAGATGAGGAAGGTGATGTGAGTATAAAGGAGAATGGAGAATTGTATAAACTAAACAACACCAAGGTCTGAACTGAAGCAATCTTTTATGGAAACGTAACTGACAGACCAAACCAATTTCTATACATGAATTCATCAAGATGACTATTTGTCATATGATTCCGGGATCCATTCATTGACCGATATCCCTCCTTACAATATTCCCAGAATCTCTCGATAGAATTTAAATACGGTCCATCGAAAGTGTGAATATATCCCAGAGATGATGACTGCCAGTAACCACCACCCTACTCATCTGTGGCAATAGTAATTGGAGGAACATCCACACTTTAGTTGGAAATTCTTCCTAGAGATCCTTCTCTAAAAGTCGTATCTTATTGGCCATGAATCACGTTTGTTTGGCATGCTATCTCCCATAATAATAATAATAATAATTTGCTTCATTCCAGAAACAGTACTAGTGGTACGGTATGGAATTTTCAGCACATATCTACAACATCTGCATCTAATTTTATCAAACATTTAAAAGGAGTATTTCAAAAAAAATAAATATAAAGACAACAACAGCAAAAACACAAAAGAAAATTAAAAGAATGCGAAAAAATACCAAGAAGTAGAAAGGAAAATAAACAACATAATAAATAATATCTCAGTATTGGGTAGTGGAAGCTATGATATGATTACGCATGGTGACAGTAAAACTATAGTCATACAAGAAATTATGAAATGATATTTAAGAATGTTTCTCGCCAAGATGATCAGTTAATTTGGTTGAAACAACACTAAACAATCATAAAATAGCATTTCAGAGTTGTTGTTTTGTTTTTTACTGTCAGGTCTAATGCAGTGTTTGTAGTGGTAGTGTGAGTAATCCTGCATAATACAAAATTTTAAGATGGTGATAATGGCGCTTACAACCAATGATTGTCAGTTAATATTGCCGGAAAAAAAATTTTTTGAATAAAAAAACAACCACAAAATCTAATAATTACATGATGGTTAATGACAGGACAATTTTGTACTACTCATAGTGCTAATTGTAGTCGGAACCAGTAGATACACAAAAGAAGGAATAGAATAAAGTACAAAAAAGTAAGCCAATGTAAACCACAATCACACGCTGGTTCAGTGATTGGTGAAAGAATATAAAACTGTATAGATACAAATAGCTGTTTGATCACTTGAAAATATATATACCTTGGCTTTCGTGTCTTGCCTTCTGCTGTTACAATACTTTCTTTTTATAAAAACTATTTCGTCGATGTAAGCGATCACACTTACACACCATGGTACCCATCTCCCGATACGTTAGAATATCGACAGTGCTGATACCACTCTATATTGTGGGTGCCATTGTGCCTTCCGCAACAATAGCACTTGCCGATAGTAGTCCCTTAAGAAGTCAATCAACAGTGACACAAATTACAGTATTTTGGCTTGGTGGAGAAGGTGAATTCCATGAATATTGATCCATGCGGAAGAGCTGACGAACAACTGCACGTTTGTTTTAGTTTCTATTCTTTTCAATTGACCACCATAGATTTTGATCATTGTTTTTATCCATAGGTTGAAGCGAATGTGCTGACGGCGGTTCATACAACTACACATTTCCTGCAAACAACATTCAACGTGATCTTCAAGGAAAACCTCAACAATATGGTTTGAGATATCTCCTTCTATTCATTATTAAACAGTATGACACTAGTGTGCGTCGGTGGCACAGCGGTTAGGACGCTCGCCGACCATACACATGGTCCGGGGTTCGATTCCCGGCCACTGACGCACTCCTTTACCTCGCTGAGCCAGAAATAATGCTGGTTAAGAGGAAAGGTTGGGCATGAGGCTAGCAACTCCATCCTGTAAAAGTAATCACCACTGCTACAGAAACTTGAAGCCCCCCTATGTTCCACTGGGAACGTAAAGGAATTTTTTTTTAAATGACACTGGCTGCTTATTCGCCTAAACACTCGACTTTCATAGCCAGTAGATCCAGAGAGTTCGAGTTCTCCTTCGTTTACTTTAGCCAAAGGAACTGGGTAGTAATTATCACCAGTCCTGAACACAATATGCATGGGACTCATAGCCCCAGAGTTCCAGCGTTAACACTAAGGTCTACAAGAGTTGTGTAAGTAACAATGCTAAACTTGAATACAAAAGTTTAGTATTCAGAAAAGTAAAAAAAATGCAATCCTAACACTGCTTACCTTATCACTAGCTGTTTCTGCTTGAAAAAGACGATTCGACGGGAATACTAACAATTTGAATGTATTAGGTGGAGGATTTTGTTGTCGATCAGCAGCAGTAGGAAAATTTGCAACAGCAAAATTAGTTAGATCATATGTTGTTTGAAGACGATATGGATAAGAACTGGAAACAGAAAAGGAAATGATAAGAACTGCCTCAAAACTTTTAATAATAATATTGATAATTTGCTTTATTCCAAAACAGTACTTGTGATACAGAATGGAATTCTCAGCATTTTTACTACAGTATTGCATCCAGTTAGTACATAATCAATAAATAGAATTCTACATAGAATTAAGGAAATCTCAGTTCATTATGACAACAACATATTGGCATGTCGGTAGCAAAGCAAAAGTTGAACAGTGTTTGAAGGTGTTAGAAAAGTAGGTGCTATCATATTTACTGGCGTAAGCGGAAGAAAGAAACAAAACAGTACATAACAGAAAAAAGAGAGGGAGAGAGAAAAGGAAAAGAAAGAAAGAAAATGTTGTACCTATAAATGATATGAGTTGGAAAGACGAGGTCCAGTTGTTCTACTGACTATTTAATGAATTATAGGTGTCACGCCTAATGCTTTCTTTATCGCGCAGAACACGAACTAAGTAGGGTATGGTTGAGTTTTTGTACTTGCTAGTGCGAGCATATGGTTTCCTATATAGGCTTCTGTTTTTGCCTGATGAGATGCAAGCGGAGAGTTGTGAATGAAGAGGGTGGTGTGAGTTAGATAAAATGAATTTGGCACATGAGTCCATGTGCCTGTCAACCAGAATATTAACAAGATGGTTAAGTGGCACGTTGCTTACCCTGCTAAAAACATTTAACATCCTGCGTAAAATGTTATAGTCTTTCTTCAGTAGCCCGGGAAAAACTAAGGGGGAACAATAGGGAATAATAGGCAGGGTGCAAGAGTTAACCAATTGCAGGAGTAAGGCTTGGGGTATACCAAAATGTCTTAACTTCTTGATGTAGAAGGTAAGACGGAATATTTTCTTAGAAATCGTCAAGATCAGCAGATAAAATGACGCCTAGGTATTTAATTTCCGATTTGGTTTCTATTTCAGTGCCATCTATGTTGCACACCTCGTGAGAGCTAACCAGTTTGATTAGGTCAGATTTATGCTTAAAGGTGAAATTGACTGTTTGGCATTTGGAAGGGTTTAAGGTAAGACCGTTTTCCTTAGACCACTGGCTGATTTCTGATAGAAATCAGAATATCAATATCAAAATTTCATAATACCCTTTATTTGGAAAAGGGAAAGACATATATATTCAGGTGCTTATTTTCAACTTTTATTCACAACCTTCTTACTACCTGTTCTACTTGTTCTACACCTTTGAAAGCTGAAATCTCCGTGCTCGAACATTGCTCCCTTCGGAAAATTGCTTGCACTCAGTGGTATTATTATTATTTAAGTCATTCTGAGGTGCAGCAACGTGTCTGTCAACCAGGTGGAGATCGTCCTTCAATAAATGTTGTCATTTTGGAGTATCAGCTTCGGTAGTTTGGATATGTACTAGGAATGTCATCGCAGCGGCTTCTATACTGGGATGGTCAACCCATGACGTGACATCATGGAAGTGAAGATAGTTGTTTGAAGTTAGCCTCTGTTACACCAATAAGCAACATCCCGACCACGTGATTATTAAACCAGTGTGCATCAACCACAAGGGAAAACTACTGTCCGAATGAACAGAGTTCAAGTATTACGTATAGTTCTTTTATTGACTAAGAGCTACCGTCACTATCAAAATATCATATTATTCAGGCATATGCTTGTCAACAATAAAGTAAAAAGAAATTATTACATAACGATAATGACGTAATAGAGAAGAAGAAAGAAAACAGAAAGAACTTACAGACCAGATTGACTATGATATGCAATAACCAAGGTATCTGTGAGTACAAACACTCTAGCCATACATAGAAAAGAAAAATCATTCATACTTAATTCACGCAAATCTCCATCGAAGATAACACGACGACTTGAATCACCGACTAAAACCTAAAGAATAACAGAAAGCAAGACAGAATGTGTAATCTACGAATTACAAATATATATATCATTCAGTCCTACTAGTTCAGATGAAACATAAGGGGTTTCAGAGTAGTACATCCACGTCGCACTCTGTCTGTCTGGATTTAACACAGAACTTGACACCGAAGTGCAGCACTTCGATTTGCCACGTTCCAAATACCACACAAAGGTAGACAAGAAGATGAGTGGAGAGAATCAAAAGAGTTTTGACAAGTATAAGAGTGAAACAAAATGAGCAATGGTAGAAAGGAATATGAAAGATTACCCAAGAGACTGAATACATCTGCGTAAGCCACTGACAACGATTTTCAGCCATGTCACCTATTGTCTCCAGCCATTGATTCTTAGTATCCCGAGGGCGGGCCCCAACCCGGAAGTCTGCATCTCCCTCCCTACCTGACTCAGTTTAACTGTCAGGGATTCCACGGATTGGTGCCATGTTTTTCTTTCGCATGGCACCACTTACTCTTTTCCAACCCACAACACCTATATCAGCTAGTAATGCCCGTCCGTCGGGGGAGGCGATGGTTAGGCATGCGCAGCACGTCACCTAGCCATCTCAATCTATGTAACTTTATAGCCTCGTCGATTGATTTTCCCTCTTTGCCCAACCAACACTCTACGCCTGACGTCAACATTACTTACCTTATTATACCACCTAACGTGAGAAAGAGATCGTAGACATCTATGATCAAAAACAGTCAACCTTTTCATGTCTTCAACTCGTATTGGCCATGTTTCAGAGCCATAGAGAAGGACAGAGCGAACTGGTGAGCAGTACACACGTCCCTTGGTTGATAGCCGGATGTCACGCCTACGCCTAGGTCGCACTCAGTTTTCTGTCATCACTTTCACCAAGTTCCACGACTGTTCCATAAACTTTCACTTCATCGCCATATGACTTTCTCTATATCACCCTCAGACGTTCAGTTTGTCGCTTCCAAATCGAGTTTCACTCAACACCTTAGGCATGTAACGTCAGTTGAAAGTCTCCTCAGCGTATCTCCAATCCATTTCAGATACCTTTTGCATATTTTTTCGTCGGTTGTCTATCACAGTAACCCGTAACTTATTCCTTACAAACACCTGATATTCGATATAAACCAAACACGTCTGTTGGTGGTAGTCTACAGCGTATTAGAAAAGCTCCTCATGACGCCAGCGCCAAGTCTCTGAGCACTATATGGAAGCAATAATTTGACATCAGTGTTAAGACTTCTGGTTTTCAAGTATTGATTTGTAGGGATTTGATCGCTTGGTTACCTGGGTTCTAGTGGGAAGTCGTGACCAGTAGGGTGCAGTAGGTCGGGTGTGAGGACAAATACTCGCCAGCGATGAGATTGGTTAGCGGTCGCGCTATGTCGTGAATTGGCAGAAGTTAGAATTCATGGGCTGGCCATTGGATCGGGTCCCAGTGGCTGATGAATGGTCTACAAGCTCGCTAGCCTTGTAACCAGAAGGTCCTGGGTTCGAACCGTGGTGGTGGGTGCGTACTACTGATGAAGGGTCCCAAACTAAGACGAAACAGCTGGCTGTCCAGTACTCCCTGTGGCTGGTTTTCCAATGGTTCTCTAACCAATGTCAGCTCATGATGAAATCCTGTAACTTCTGATTTTGTTTTTTGCGCTAGGTACTGGAGATCTTTATACCGATTTCGGAGTAATGAACGCTTTTTACGCTTTTCCCAATCTGGCTTTGATGCCTTCATCCATACTGTCTATAGTCGAAACGCTGCTGTCCAAGTAAGTGAAAGGGATGTATGTTTTTGTGTGTTTAACCCCAACTACCCCAAAAACAGATTTCGCATGCACCCGGGCTAAGAGCTTCATTTGCCCAGGCTGATTTAGGTGGAGGAGTACTCGAACCCGTGACCGATCGACTGAAAACTCTATGTTGACTTAAAATCTTGCCTTCGGTGCCTCTTCACAAGTAGCACCACACAACAACCACATAAAGATCGATTTCGATATACAGCATATTGCGTATGAACGGCCTAGCTACAGTGTGATTAAAGAAAATGAAGACTAACATAAAATTAAGGGCAAAATTTACGTTTGAAATTCAAATCTCTGAAGATCAGAAGTATAAGTTACGCACAGAGATCAAGAGGTACATAGAAGCACTAGAATGAAATAGTTCTACTTAACCACCTCTAAATGTGAACTTTAAACAAAATAGTTTATTTAGATATAAAATCTGTAAGTATACAATTCCCACGAAAGGTTATTTCACACTATGTCCGTGTGTACAAAGTAAACCTTAAATTAGGAATATAAAGGAACAGAGGCTCAAGTAGTATGATTATGACATAATTTCAGATGAAGTTAGGGGGAGTAAGAATCGTACTTCTTTTTTGAGTATATAAGTGAACTGATGATAACACTTATGAAGTAATAGTTATGTTAAGCTGACTTTGAGATATGCAATGTAAAATAACCGGTGTAAAAAAAGGGAGTTGATGAATGTAGTTGTTCATACTTGCTAAATAGCCGTCAATAATTAGCTTATTGGCTTCGGCACTCTACTTTCAGCCAATAAGATCACGGGTTTGAACCCGATCCCACCTACTTTGGTCTCGTAAACTGAGTAGTATAATCACTCTTTAGATAATAAGTATGGTTCATAGCCCATTATGTGAGAAATCTGTTCCGAGAATTATTATTATTGTTGTTCCCTTAGGTCCCGAGTGGAACATAGAGCTTCAACAGCATATCTCCATTTTGTCCTGTTGTTTGCGGCCTTCTTCAGAGCTGGGCCCACGGTTACCCATAGTATCTCATCTCTTCCTCACACGCCGAGGGTCTAGCGTCTGATGTCACTAAACGGTCTCCTCACCGTGTGTCCAACCTATCAGATTTTCTTCTACATATTTGTTGAGCAATAGGTTCTTGGCCAGTTTATTCCCAGATTTTCTTGTTGCTAATTCCTTCTGACCGGCCATTTGATCTTCAGTATAGAGCGAGAGAAGGCACATGTTGATTACACATTTGCATTTGGCTCTGTACCTAGGTCTCTCTTGCTAAGTAAGCTTGCTGCAACACAGAGTGAGAGCTGGACAAATAAGTGGTTGCATTCCTATTTTCCTGATAGGAAGCAGTACACCGTCCACAACGGAAAGTCCTCCACTACCTAACTTACTTTAGCTGGTGTTCCTCAAGGTGCTGTTCTTTCTCCTTTTCTGTTTTCTTTTTTCTTACATGACTTGCCTCATTCTGATGTAGCCTGTTTTGTTAAGTACGCTGATGACCTCTCTGTTTCCATGCCTGTCAACTCTCAGTCAGACTGTTCCAAATTAAATAACTTTCTCTCGGAAATTAGTCAGTGGTCCTCTTTAAACAGTTTTAAGCTAAATGCGCCCAAATGTCAGGTAGTCAATTTCACTTTCACACGAAAACGTGACCTACAACAACTAGCTGGCTCACATGGCCCACTATCATTGACGGCATACAGGTTGAAATTACATCTAATGTCAAGTACTTTGAACTGAGTATTTCCTCCGATCTTTCCTGGTCCTCTCACATCTTGTTAGTTACTAGAAATATGTTTCGTTTAACGTTCTAAGTTAGAAAGTTAAGGCAGTCAGGTATAAAACAGTCTTTGCTTTCTCAGTTTGTCAATTCTTGTATTCTAACCATCCCTCTTTACTGCTCCCCATGAATCTTTCCTGGACTACTTAAGAAAGATTTTGCTTTGCTGTGTAGGGCACTAAAAGCTGTTAGTAGGGGAAGTGGGATATCGTCAAACCAAGTGGTTAATACTATTGTGGATAGACATATAATGTCATGTAAGAAACTAGCGAATACTACATTGTCAGACCCCGAACACCCTCTCTATACGCAGCTCTCTCCTTGCATTTCATCTGGTAGAACTAGAAGCAGCTATAGGAGGCTATATGCTAGGACTACCAAGTACAAAAACTACACAATACCTTATCTGGCACAGCTGTTATGTGATGAGAATTCTGTCAGGTATGACACGATCAACTAACTGCGGCACTCTAACAAATAGTTCTCATTAGCTTTTGTTCTCCTTTCTTTGTTACTATTATATTGTTGTTCACATCTTATATTACACACTAATTTTATATTTCATATCCTGTGGTGCATTGTTTAAAAATGTAAACGCAACGCTATTTCTTTTTTTTGGTCGTTGCTTTTTGATTTTAAAATATTATAAAATTTATGAGGTAATTAGATGCAATATTGTAATGCACGCTGAAAATTCCATACCTGTACCACAAATACTGTTTGGAATAAAACTATTATTATTATTAAAGTCTGCAGTAGCCTATTGGAAATGCTTTAAGTGACACGCAGTGCAAGTTTCTCAGTCATTATAGAAGAACTGACTGACTGATTTAACATCGGTATTGAAAATCCGAATCTTGTTCTGTATACAGGCTGAGTGCGGAAGACATCCAAACTGATTTTAGAGTGATGGAGGTGTATTTCGCCTTTCCGATTCTGGTTTTCACATCCTCATCTGTGTAGCTGGCTGTAGTTGAAAGGATGCTTCCTAGGTAAGTGAAGGAGATGACCTCTTTCAAATTTATTCTGTTGATAGTGACTGCTGCTTGTCGTTATTGTTGGTTGGTTGGTTGGTTAACTCCGTCTTCCCTATGTCCACTTGAAGTCGTATCTTTGCTGCTTTGTTTATTAGCAACTTATTAGCTCCCACTTGTACATCTTCGACTGTTTGTGACGTCAGACATGAATTGTCCGTGAAACCCACGTCTTCTAAAGTCCTCTTCTTTCTCCCAATAAGTCTGATGTATAATCCAGTCTACCACCTTATCCAAGGCACCAAGCTCTAATGGAATAAATTCATACAAATTTATGTGCTATAACATCTGAGTATATATCACTCAACTGATATATGCAGGTGGACAGACCAATGTCCCCCCCCCGGTATTGAATTGCTGCCAGTCAAATAGCTACGATTCATAAAAATTCAGGCAGAGAGGGGAAACATAAAAAGGAGTTATTAATACCAACAACAACAACAAAAAAGGTCAAGAAAACGGGGAAACAGAATAATTGAGATCCATTGTTATTTTTCTTTGAGTGGAACTATCAGCGGGAGAAATCTTAAGGAAGTCACATTTTTTTCACCTATCTAGGCAGCATCGTTTCAACTAGAAGCAGCAAGGATGAGGATATCAAAGCTAGGCAGGATCGAAAAAGCAAAGCAGGACTTCATTACTCTGAAATCAGTGTAGAAATCTTCTGTGCTTAAAGCAAGGAACGAGACCGACATCCTTAACACTAATGTCAAACCAGTGCATCTATATACGGTTCAGAGACTTGCCCCACAACGTCAATAAAAGCATTACCAATAGGCCACATACTTGCATCGACATCCACCTTCACTCAATATTGAAGATCTGATGTCCAGAAAGCAGCCGGATAAGCAACAAGGAACTCTGGCAACAAAACAAAAAAATGCAGGAGAAGGTGGAGACGGACTAGGCATGTGCTGAGGAGACCATTGAGTGACATGAAACGGTCAAGCCCTCAAGTGGAACCCAAATGGACGTGGCTTCAAAAGTGACACAGAGATGACCGCGTGTGAGGAGGAGATGAAAGTCTATGGTTATTCATGGAGCCAGACAAAAAATACTGAAGAGAAAAGAGGTAAATATAAGTGCGATGTTGAAGCCCCCCAATGTCCCTATCGAAACTCAAGGGAGTAGTAATAATAAAAATACTAAATATTGGAATTCACGATGCGTGTTTCTCACTATTTGGATCTCGTTAGCTGGATGTATCTGCATCCCAGTGGGTGATGGTATTCCCCTCTGGATTCTACTACAAGATGCTGCCGACCAACTGACATATACTTCATCTCAAGGTACCATCAAGATGTCCATGCTAGGCGCCGATATATGTGTGGTGAGAGCTGTCTGCAAGCCGAATTCGTAGACAACAACTTACGTTTACGTCCCGAATCGGGGTGATGAGAAAAAACAAGAACAAAGCTCAACCTTGAGGAACTCAACAACCAATCACAGCAGACTTCGCGTGGGCGGATAAAATTCGTAGATATATATCAACGGACTGTCTAAGAAACGGCTACAAAGAGATGGCAGAATGACCTTCAGCAGGAAAACAACCAGTCAGAAGACGTTGCTTCTCTGCTAACGATAACGAATGAGAATGTACATAAAAATCTATAAATATCTGTTGATTTTCTGAATACACAACCCGTTGCCTAGCTCTTGTCTTCTGTCGTTACATGTCAGTAGAAACCGAGCATTCCACTTCAAACAACAGAAAATTCTAAATAATAATTTCAACAAATAATAATAATTAAAATTTAGAAATGGTGAAAGAGATTTTCAGCTGAAGTAGATGTGTTCTCTAAGCTAGATAATTCATTTTGCGAACCTTTCATAGTCTTCCTAGATAACATCTTCAGTGCAAACTTTAATATTAACTTATACATTTATCAGTAAAAATACGCATATAAATCCAAATCCCCCCCAAAAAAAAACTTACTGAAGCACCCTCAACTAGTTCCGCTAAACGACTGACTGAAATACCAGCATATTCACTGCGTAATACATTTCCAGACTTTTCATCATCCTGTACATCAGAGGCAGCACGATCTGAACATGTATCTGTGATGATATCTTGTTATTCAGAAGAAGAAGGAGAAAGAAGATAAAATTAGGCAAATAAGTCAACATTATAATAAAGGTTTTTGTATTTCCCAATGAATGAAAAACAAAACGATATTGCTTTTACTGACGTTTCGCTATTTAATGCTGATGCTAATAGCTTCATCACACTCCATCAGCGCGAAGTTATCAGTTGTTTCAAGTCTTCTTAGACGAGCACACTCTTTGACGAAAACGCATGAGAAGGAAAAAGAAGAAAAAGAAACATTACTGAAACTCTCAAGCAAAACAACTACCCAAGGGACTTCATGAACAAAATCAACACTGACATTAAGTATGGCCGGAAACGCATTCCGAAAACATGGACCTCAACAGTCGTCATTCCATATAGAGCAGAGACGTCAGACAATATCAGAAGAGTACTCAATCAGCTCGACATTAGAGTTTTCTTCAAAACATCAGACACACTACGAAACAACCTTGTCCATAAAAAAGACCAGATCCCTAAAGATTCTCTATCTAATTGTGTCTACAAAGTAAAATGCTTGGAATGTGATGCGATATACATTGGACAAACATCACCAGAGAGAAATCAAGGTAATCAGAGGAAATGAACACCGTAGATTGAGTGTCTGTTCTACCACCCAGAAATCCAGTTAGTGAACTAGAAAAACTTGAAAAATCATCAGCCATAGGTCTACATGCAATAGAATCAGGCCACAACATTGATTTTGACAATATTGAAATAATCCAGAAAAACTTCAGAAATCATAAAGAACGTCTAATATCAGAAGCGCTTCATATCAAGTGGAATCAAAATTGCCTGAATAGGAATGATGGACTCAAACAGAATCTGACCTGGTTACAACACCTCCCTCCCCTCCCCCATGAAGTGACAAAATCAACACGAATGTGATATGCAAGTTGATTATGTAAACACAAACTGCCTTTACAATTCTAAACACTCATCAAATCCAACAATCTACACTTGATTTTGTTATCTTTACCAATTGACCAACTTGACAACGAAAAATGACCCCAGACTGACGAACGATGATCAAGTTGGTAAACTTTATTTTGATACCATAACACATCTACTATTACCTTTGTTATTTGGTTTAGTGGTCTTCATTGTTATTTCGACTTTCAATATGTCCTTTTAATTTAACTTGACCTTAGTCTATTTTCTCACCTCTTAACTCTTTGTTATATATATGCTGAGATTTTGTAAATTCTGGTTTAATAATACTTTGATAAAGCTATTAGCAGCATTAAATAACGAAACGTCAGTAAAAACAATGATATCGTTTTGTTTTTCATTCATTGGGAAATACAAAAAACCTTTATTATAATGAATATTATATACCCAATGCCCAAATTTTTTTAAACTGTTAAAAGCGAACTTGGTTTGGACATATATGAAATAAGTCAACAGGTTGCACAAGATTTGATAAAAATTCTAAAGGTAACACCGTGTATTATTTTCAATTTAATTTAGATTTTCCCGTTGATTGATTCGACTGAAATGTGTTCAGACTCTGTAGACACGTTGGCTCCTTCGGCGGATACTTTAACGATTTCTGAGGACTAACTTGAAGTCCCAAATAGGATGAAATACGCATCCTAGATTCCACTGTTAGTTACCAGCCAACAAAAAACTACTTCAAGTAAGACTATATTTATTATTCGGCCGTTTTGTGTGGGGACTCAAACCCTGACCCATTCCTTAACTGAGACCCCTTTCAACAATTGACTAGTGATACCCTCAGTAGCATGATAAATAATGAGAAAATGTCTATAAAGACATCAAAGTGTGTATGTAAACATAGTAGGTACACTGCAAGCTCTTCAGCTGCATATTGCATAGTATTGCTAGAAATCAGGTACCTGGCAAACTTGTTTCAAGTACTAGTGCTAACTTTAGTAGAGAAGCAAGATGAAGAAAGTGATGTGAGTAAGGGAGAGTGATGCTCAGGTAGGCTTCGTGTGCTTTTGGAAGTGCGTGGGCGGTTGTTACTTCCCGGCTGCCCACACCGTGGAAGTTGATTGATTCTTCGGGAACCTGAAACAGAAAGTGTTGCGTGACCGCAGAGCCCAGGGCAAAACTGCTTGAGGCTGGTCACACGCGGCCTGTTTTTGTTTGTTCTTTTTTGTTTGGTGTGTCTCGGTAGCATATTTATCACTTCTGCCCTGTGACACGGCAGCAGGAAGCGCGGTCGTTGTTGATCCGGGCCCCGACCGATCCGGCATGATATTTTGTGAATTTGTTTGAATCATAGTGTTGGATTGGGTAGCTGCTTTTTGTCTAACCGCTATCCAAACAACCTTTCTGGCATGGTAGGACCTGCAGGAACATAAGTCCCAGCCAGTGTAGCTCGTTGGATCATTGCGATATGCAAGCACGACCACCACGTCGAGGTAGCAGCTATCGGTCGGGTAGTAGGCGAAGAGTCAAATTAATTTCAGTTTTTTTTGGCCTCATTCTAGTTCTCGATAGTCTACTTCAATCCCTTTCTCATTTTCAGCGACGAAAAAATCATTTCATTCCGTTTCTATCTATACATATCATGAACACATTTTTCCCCCGAAAAAAATCCTTTACATACTATGCAATTATATTTCCAAAATTCTCCTTTTTTGGTTTCTATACCTCTTTATAATTAATTTTCATCAAAATTCCCATATGCGAATTTTCACATCATTTTGAGAAAAATCATTATTATCGACATTTATTCCCACCTTTTTCACTATGTCTAATTAGGAGGAAAAAAAGGAATTCTTCTAATTAAGATACTTTGTAGAACAAAAATTTCAGTTGTACAGATATTGATTTATGAAACAGTGTTTTAGCATACTTTTAGCATGTTGATGACAAGTTATTGATAAGAACTAAAAAGTAATATAGGCCCGAAATGATGTAGGTTAGTTAATTCATTCAGTATTATTTAAAAGGCATGATTATTTATGAGACAAATATTCTAGAAGAGAAAGAAAAGTTCGCCTCTTGCTGTGGATCCAGCCAGGTACATCGGTCGTACATCGACGCGCATCCTATCAAAAAGGGTCAAAGAACACTATCCAGCATGGCTGCAGAAAGGAAGTAGTAACCGTATAAGGAGTGTAATAATCGAACATCTCTTCACCACTGGTCATTCCATCTCAACAAACGCCTTCTCCTTCAAAGTAATCTACAAAGTGAAGAACAACCTGCCAATCTACCGCTTTCTTTGCATTGCAGAAGCCTTAGCCGTTCAGTTAGAAGAACCAGAACTATGCATACCAAAGAAAATTATTCAACCACTTCTACTATCATGGTAACAACTCTGTTGACTTGACTTAACTTTTGCTTGCTTGCTTGTTTTTTCTAACTACTTAAAACTCTTATGTAATTCCGTATTTTATTTTGTTTCCATGCACACCCTGAGCACAACTCGTTCATCAAACTATTCATATTATTACGTAACTCTTCTTCTCTCTATTAAAGTGGAAGAACTCAACAGGTAGATAGAAACAAAGCTGACCAGTAATAATAATGTGTCACTAAACCAGATAGCATAACTACAAAATTACTTTAGAAGTATCAAGAAGAGTAAGGTGGGAGACTTCCAGATGAGAAAGTAAAATTCTATGAAACAAAACAGAAGGCAGAGAGGAATAAGTGCAGCAATATAACTGCATAATCATCAAGATAATGCACGGTTGACCACCGTCTCCCTCTGTGTGAACTGATTTGGTTTCAGTCGCCTTTTGGCAATTGCTTCAGCAAAACGTAACAATCTGAGTTTCTATGATATTAGATAGTTGGAGGCAATCGGCCACAGGAAGCCCTCCTTGGACCTAGGTTTCGTGCTAGTTGGCACTCACACCAGTCAGCGGGGCGTATCTGCAACCCTGAAGGAATTCATGTCCCTTCTGAGATTCGAACCCGCTTCACCCAGTGATATCTGCAGTCAGAGACAGATTGCCTCCAACTATCTAATATCAACAAATCAATGTGCACCGTGATTGCAAGCTACCTAGAATGGTGGCCGCATTGCAAACCTGACTGATAGAATTCAGTCTGCACCAAAAAAAAGACTAAACACGTCACACTAGTTACTAGTGTCCAATCAAAATCTGACTTTCATCCACCTTTTGATAACTTTGAATACCTTTTAGACCATCTACAATATGACTAGTATACATTAGATGGAATTAGTCTCACTGTTTGTTACTTGTGAACCTTTTAGTCTCAGGTTCTTTGTGATGTGTTCAGAGATTCAAACAACGACCCGTCTTATTGTTCTCCCAATGTGTATGTGCTTAGGCATGTACAATTAAGTCCGTAGATACATTTTCAAGTAACATGAAGTAGGAAGTTGTCCATTTTTGATGATCTTAAACAAATGTTTGATACACATATGCAAGCTTGTCGACTGGATATGCTCTTTTCAGTGCAGTGTTTAGTTTTTCACCTTATTCTATCACAAATAATATTGCCCTTAAAGACCTTTTATTGCCTTGTTAATTTTGTTCTTCTGTATCTCCTGTTCTGTTCCACAAGACTTTGTTTTCTTATCTGAACATCTCCTTCCTTGCTATTGTAAAATATTTTTCTAGTGACCCAACCTGTTACAGTGACATACTATTTCGGGTTAAGCTCTGGTCCAACTTACATTTTAACCCCCCCCCCCCCGCCACCTTTCTTCTTCTCTAGAACATTCGTCTATGGGGACGTGATTTATTGACTTCAGCATTTGAGTTCCTTTCAGTGGGTCCACCCACTTTAGCCTAGATAACTCTAGGTAGTGTCATTAGTCCTCACACAGCTAGTGTGGCTGAAAGCCCGTTACTGGGTAACTGAGTCCTAGCAAACTAAATAACTAACTATCCAGAGTATTTGTCTAATTATCGCATACACAGTCAAGTCTATTAATACTTGATAACTTTTATTTCCTATCAATAACTCGTCATCAACGTGATAAAAGTATGTCCAAACCCCGTGTTGAAGCTTATACACTTTGGTAATATTCAGGTTGTTAACAGTAGGAAATAATTCATGAGAGAGTGAAAATGAGCTCATATTATATTAAGCCACACTAGTTGTTGTCGCTTTGTTCAAATATTGGGGGAAAAATCCCTGAAAAGACACTCTCTGTTGAAGGTGTCTTCACTCGAAACACGGAATGACTACGGCCAATACCTTAATTATTCTTTTTATTTTGATTATAGCTTGAAACCATACAGTATTTTTGGTACAAGTATAGAATTTTCAACATATGATATCGGGAGACCAAATTTTGCAGGCCAACCATTGATATCAGGTGTGCGTCGTCAGGGATCAAATCCCGGACCATGTGAATGGTCGGCGACGCACATATGTCTGTCTGTCTGTCTGTTTTCGAAATAGAACTTTGCACATATGTGCACCAGTTCAAGTCGCCACACTCCCTCCTTGTAGCACACAAAGCAAGAGAAAAAAGCAGGAGAAATGCATATTAGAGACAGTAAACAGAGGTGTGAGACAAAGGAATAGTTATAACGAAGAATAAAACAGTTTCATTGGAAATCATAAGTCACAAAGAGTGGATGCATCTGCGTCAGCCATTGAGAACAATTTTGAGCCATATCACCAATTGTTTCCAACCATTGGTTTTTACCGTTCCAAGGACCCCAACCAGTCAAGAAGTCTACACCTTCCTACGTGGCTTATGCTAACTGTTGCAGATTTCATTGACTGATGCCATGTTTTGGTTAGACCGCCGCTAGCTCTTTTCCAGCCTGACCCTATATCAGCTAACATTGCTCGTCAGTCGAGGAAGGCGATGACTAGTCAGGGATGCGTAACACATGTCCTAACCATCTCAGTCGATGTAGCTTCACAGCCTCATAGACTGATTTCCCCGCCTTACCTAGCACTTGACGCCTAACCTCAAGATTGCTCACCTTATTATACCACTTCACGCGGGAGATAGAACGCAGACACCTATGATCAAAGACAGCTAGTCTTTCCATGTCTTCCAAATGTAACAACAGAAGACAAGGGCCAGGCAACAGATCTTGAAAACCACTCAACTGAGAAGAAGCCTCAAAGTCCTGCCCGAAGATCCATATGCCTCCATCAAAAACTGCAGGGCATAGGCTTTCTATTTGTCGGTAGGCAGCGACGCACGTATCAATATATATATATATATATATATATATATATAACCAAGAAACATGTTGTATGCAATCAGTCTAATTTGGGCAACAAATAAATAAATATACAATACCGGAATAAATAACACAAATTAGTTATCTTACCACCAAATAAGGATACCTCCGTAAGAGCATTTATTACCCGCTGCTTTTCAGTAAATTCATTATGAATTTGATGCATTGTATTTTCTAACTGGCTAGCAGCTTTACCAGCTTTAATGAATAATTTGTAGTTTTCGAATACTGCACGTTTCATCTTGCTGGACGCATCAGTCGACATGATGTTAAGCTTATCAAGCATACTGATAGTAGCTGCATCTCCATCTTTGAATACATTCTTAGCAACTAAAAAATAAAGATTATAAAAATCAAATCAAATTTACAGAATATAAAGGGATAAAACATCTAAGTTTTTCCTTATGAAAGTAAAATTTTAGGTAGTAACAATATCTTACTGATAATCAATTGAGAAACTGTAGGAGATCTTTATAATCAATATATGGGAGTTCGATGGTGGTTTTTTGGCTTCCGTCGTTTTCAGTGCACACAGAGTGAAGAGGAAGTGAAGAGCCATTAAGTAGAGGAGTTGCATTAGTAGAAGGAAGGCAAGATAATAGAGATGAAGATGAAGACAAAGGTGAGTGAGGATTAGAGAGGTTTCGTGTGCACTTCGGATTGTGAGGGCGATTGTTACTTCCCGGCTGCCCACATCGTGGAAGTTGGTTGCGTGACCGCAGAGCCCAGGGGACAACTGCTTGAGGCCGGTCACACACGGCCTGTTTTTGTTTGTTCTTTTTCATTTGGTGTGTCTCAGTAGCGTATTTATCACTTCTGCCCTGTGACACGGCAGCAGAAAGCACGGTCGTTGTTAATCCGGGCCCCGACCGATCCGGCATGATATTTTGTGATTTATTTGAAGTCATAGGATTGGATTGGGTAACTGCTTTTAGTCTAACCGCTATCCAAACAACCTTTCTGGCATGGTAGGACCTGCAGGAACATAAGTTCCAGCCAGTATAGCTTGTTGGGTCATTGCGGTGTTCAAGCCCGACCACCACGTCAAGGTAGCAGCTTTCGGTCGTGCTGCGCATGCCTAACCATCGTCTCCCCCGACGGGCATTACTAGCTGATATAGGTGCAGGTTGGAGAAGAGTAAGTGGTGGCCAAACAAAAACATGGCCTCATCAATCCATGAAATCCCTGACAGTTAAACTGAGTCAGGTAGGGAGATGCAGACTTCCGGGTTGGGGCCCTCGGGACTCTAAGAATCAATGGCTGGAGACAATAGGTGACATGGCTGAAAATCGTTGTCAATGGCTTACGCAGATGTATTCAGTCTCTGTAATCTTTTATATTCCTTTCTACCATTACTCATTCTGTTTCACTCTTATACTTGTTAGAACCCTATTGATTCTCTTCACTCGTTTTTTTGTCTACCTTTGTGTGCTATTTGGAACGTGGCAACTCGAAGTGCTGCACTTGGGTGCCAAGTTCTATGTTGAATCCAGCCAGCCAGCCAGCATATGGGAGTTCACGTAGTTTTTTGTTAAAAGGTGTATACATGTGCAACACAGTAGTAGATTTTAGATCATACCAACCAGAATTTCGGATGATTCATTCCTGGCATCGTGGAAAATTTAGCCACATAGTAAGTGATTATCATATAAATTCATTCTAAGAGAAATAAACACACATTGAGCATTTGGACTGACTAACATCTAGATATATCAACCCCAGCCTGTGTAATGGGAATAGAATGATAATTTACGGAGATGTATAAGTGGCCAAAAAACCAAGGAAAGTTAAATAATCGAGACCAATTAATTCACCAGATGATGGGTAAAATACTCTTGGACAAACGCGCTGCAAGGGGCGATTATAGAGATTATGAGTTATCATTTGGAATGGAGTGTTGCAAACCAACTAGCGTATTTTCATGCGCCGTACAATGAGCTACGCCCATTGTGTGAAGGCTAGTGATATTTTATTTCATTATTTTTGATGATAGCTTGATTCTACACCGTACTTTTGGTACGAGTATGAAATTTTCAGCAAATGATATCGGTAGATCAAATGTTGCAGGCCAACCATGGATATCAGGTGTGCGTTGTCAGGGGACCAAACCCGGACCATTTGCATTGTCGGCGAGCGTCCTAACCGCTGTGCCACCGAAAGTGCCCGAAATTCGGTTAGTGGAGAGAGATTGGAGGCCGTAACTCAACAACTGGATGTCGAAGACTTAGGCAAATAATGTGAGACATTTTACGTAACTATAATCGGCAGTGAGTACAGTGCGACTCCCTTAACTCAAAGGATAGTATTCCAGTGTGTTACTGCATAGTAAACTAAATTAAAAAACGACTAGATGAAATGTAACAACAAGTAGGAAAAAGAATGTGTTGGTAGCATAATAGACATTATCTTTTTACTTCTAAAAGTTGCCCTGAGAATTTAATATTAAGACTAGCTGTACGGTCAGTACTAGTATCAGTATTAAATGACGTTTAAATATTATGAATGAAACTATCCTCAAACCTCGCATAGATCACTTTGTTTTAAAGTTAAAGTGGCATAGCCAGAGGCAAGCTCTTCCAAGAGTACTCTTTAGATCATTGGAAAAAGCATGGTACTTCATGCACTACCCGAAGCGCTCACCGTGTGCCTGAAGTTTATTTCACAGGCTCTGCAATGTGTCCGAAAGTGTTTCCTTACTTACTGCAGGGAATCTAAAGCAATTACTAGCTGCGTTAGGTGACTCTTCGACATGCACAGTGAATCATTGCTTGTGAATGAAAATTTGTGTATAATCAAGCAGCGAGGTATTTGTCTTACATTTTTCACTATTAAATGTAGACTTTGCGAAAACCCTGCGCAATCCCCCAATATCCGAAACCTCTGTTTCAGTTGCGTTCCGCATCTGTTTCATTTGCGCTGACATTTACGACCCTGAACTTTATGTACGACATTCAAGTTAGTGTAAATCAACGAACCCCAACTAAAATTCACTTACCTGTCTATGACACCACTTCACACATTATTCTTATCCTTTAATCCTTATCAATCACAATCATAAATGAGGGCCGAGAGAATTTACTGACAGCGACAAATGCCACTAGCCCGATTTTAATAATCCGATCAAGTACATCTGTTCTTCCAATATGGACAAATACGCCAAATAATTTTTGCTACCGTGACACTGCTGACTATGTCGCGCGAAAATCACGCAAATCAACAGGAAAAAGCCGCACCAGAATAAAAAAGACCAGAATCTGAGAGATTCCTAGTGATAAATCAGATCAGTGTCAGACATGCGATCGAGATATCGTCAAAAGTGGAACAAATTTCGAACGTAAATGTGTTGAATTCACGTAACCATAATTGTCTGAAACCTCCATATAACGTCGGTGACTATTTCACATGAACATTAACCTTTGACCTAGTGGCTGTTTTTCGATGTATCTCACTAAACACATGAGATGCTTTCCATTCCCGCAACCTGCCTTGATAACGTCATCAGTGCTGTGTTTATAATAGATTATGAAGTACGTTATATATATACACAAATACATATATCGATTTCAAATTTCATTAACCGCCTGTTTTTGTTCTATTTATTTATTTTTATTTTTATTTAGTCAACATAACCTACACTAATCATATCTGTTATTATATCTTTTCCTGTCTACGAAACCAAGCTATTAACGGGTAAAAGAATCAACTCTACTAACAGCAGCAACATGGTTTGGACACACCCATATAGTGTATCCAATAATAAAACTCATTATTCACTAAAAGAAATAGATACTTACTCGATATACATAGGTGTACATGGTACCCAAACTAGTTACAACACAGGATTGTTATGTCACGCAGAAACAGTGGATGCCAATACACACTTGAGCCTGATAAACGAGCTTAAATACTCCAAACACTACTTCAAATCTCAACTCCACTTAATAATTATTAGTGCAAGATCTATCTACCGATGCTCAGGGCACACACGCTGGTATACAAACCCCCAGTAATTATTGCTGAATCCTGGTGTCACTCCAATATACTAGACGAAGAGTTAGTCATCAATGGGTACACACACTTTCGATGTGACAGGAACAGTGATAAGGGAGGAGGCTGCCTAATGTACTTCCTGAACACACTTACTGTATTACAGTTAGAAAATAGGGAACTCAATGACATACACGACACCCTATGGGTCAACGTACACTTCAAAAGTGATGCACTACTAATAGGATGTATCTGCAGAGCACCTGGCACCTTTAGTGATTACGAGATACAACTTATAAATGTACTGGAGCAAGTATCCACCCTGCTATATGGGCATAAGGTCATTTGTGGAGACTTCAATTTACGCGAAATCAACCGGGACTTATTAACACGCCCAACTAAATATGACAAGCTCTTAGGTACACTGAACATTTTCGGCTGGAAACAAACTGTCACTATCCCTACAAGAGGTGTCACGATAGAAGTCCCCTCCCAATCTTAGTGGGTTCTAGGTTTTAAGGCAGTGATTACAAGACAGTGATGTATGCACTGCCACCTCCACTGAGTAGAAATGCAGCTCATACCTCCATTTCACAGCAAATAATATAAGGGAACTGTAGTAAGGCAAACTGGGCCTTCGTAGAATCAATGCTAAGATCCTCCGAATTGGACGAATACTTCACTACTGATGACCTCTCGAGGGCTCTGAGTATCTTCTACCATAACTCAAACACATGCTCAGATGCTGTCATTCCACTCCAAACACTAAAGGTTTCCCCGCATAGAAAGTCATCTGTAAAACCAAAGGATGGTACGAAACTGAAGAGACTCTCAACAAGTTACTTCAAACACCACGACTTTGGCACACTAGGTTTAATACTTAACACCCTTAGCTTCATCTCATAAGCTAGAGATTTCCGTATGAGAAACGAAGAACGCATCGCAGTAGCCAGTCCTGCTAGAGTGTATGCACTCACAGAAATCTTAAAGAAGCGAATGAACCGCAAAATTCACATTTCTCTCCTCAAAGACAGAGGTGGGCATTGCACTAATTCTGCAGACATGTGTGAATTGTTTAACAAAACTTTTGCAGGTAACTACCTTAAGCCCGCAGTCCAGTTACTCGAAATACACCCTGCTATTAATGTGGCACGAGCTCCACCTCCACTCACACCAAAATAAACTGATAGTGTTGAATTTATCTATGCTAATATTAACCAAACTATTAGAACCCTCAAAAGCTCAAAAGGTTTTGGTACTAACGGTATATCATCCCATTTTTATAAATATATTGGCCCCGACATTCCTTTACTACTGCTTAAAATATTCACAATATCCTTAGAAACCCAAACTTACCCTGATATATGGAAAACAACAATTATTATGCCTGAGCACAAATCTGGCTCGAAAACAGAAGTCAGTAACTACAGGCCGATCAATATCACACCTATCGCATCTAGAATTATGGATAAAGATAACCTAATCAAGTTTATGCTTAGCTGCAACATTATAAGTCCGAACCAACATGGATTCCTGAAATCCAGATCTTGTTTAACATCCCACTTAGACTTCTTTAATTTTTTGACCAGCAGTCGTGACAGACAACAGCTAGTACTTGTCATCTACTTTGACATCTCAAAGGCATTTGACCGTGTCGACCATTTACTACTAATGCATAAGCTGAAATCCTTAGGAATACGTGACCCACTATTAGGATGGCTTAAATCATTCCTTAACAATAGGTCCCAAATAGTTAAACTCGGATCTATAACTTCGAAACCTAGCCCAGTCACTTCTGGAGTAGTACAAGGTAGTGTCATTTGGCCACTCCCATTTACACTATATATCAACGACATATGCGCTTGCTTCCCACATGCGAAACCATTCATCTTTGCAGATGACCTAAAAGTAGCCTATTCATTTCAATGTGATGACCTAGGGTGCTTTGAGAATATTGCGCAGAAAAAACTAGATAAAGTGACTTCTTGGTCGTCTTTATGGAATCTACAGTTTAAGCTGAACATATGTGGCTGGATCTGCTTCGGCGCACCCTCAATCGACATGAAATTGACGCTTCAGTCGGCTAACCTGACCAGACTCTGAAGTATCGTTGACTTAGACCTGAGGTACTCGAGTGACCTAACATTCTCTGAGCAAGTGGCATCACAGACTCGAAAGTCGAGGATGCATACTCAAGAACTTTCACGATAATGAAGCCAAGCTAATTCTGTACAAAATATGTGTAAGGCCACTACTAGAATACTGTCCATTTATTATCAGCAGCACTCGCACATGTGACAAGCTAAGGGTGGAAAGTGTCCAAATATATTTTACTTCCAAACTACTTGGCTACGATTGTAAGAAGGACTACATCTCACGGCGCATGATCCCAAAACTTGCCCCACTTTGGACAAGACGACTCATCACTAACTTAGTATTCTTCTTTAAGGTCCTACACAAAATGTCACTTTCATACAATAAGGATATACAATTGGCACAGGAAGGCTCTTACGGTCTGTGTGACCAAACTTGCACAGGGACAATAAAGGCCTTTGAATCAACACTCCGCAGAAATTTCTTCACAGTCATGTATTCTAAAATATGGAACAGCCCGCCCCTAGAATTCAGAACATTACATGAATAAAACTATTTATTCCTAGAACGAATCAATTATTAGTTTAATATAGTACCTAATAAAAGCACATCAATACCCTAATTACTCTATAAACGATAAATAAACTAGTCTCATAAATGCGTAAAAAGACTAAGTAGAAATAAATCCTTATGTCTAATAAGTAATGATGTACAACGAATATAAACATGTAAGTACAAACACTAGGGTGATAGTGAAGACCAATTACTTTTTCTCTGCACTCTGGTACTTTGCTGCTCGCCTCTTCTGTTGTATTTGCCTTGTAGTAGAAGTTGGATTGATCTACATCCAGACTGAAGCTGAGAAACAATTTAAATCACTTACTCATATATCATCCTTCAAGATTTGGTTAGTAATGACTCAGTATCCTCGAAATATCCACTGTCACCATAACAAGACGCTGTACAGCATTCTATACAAGCACTGTCAAAGGTCTAAAATAGCTTATAAATAGCTTTCTACGTGTTAATCAACTTACTCGTACGGAACAACCATGCGGCGACAAATAGCGGCTTTGCCTGAGGTGGGTGCAGTAAAACAATAACCAATATTAATCTGCATTCGGTTCAATTCACATCTGATGTTACTTACGACAAAAATGCTGACAAAATCATACAAGTAAATCACTCATTTCAAATTAATGCCCAATTTGAATATAAATCAAGAACAAGATACGATGCAGCACACAACAAAGTTATATGGAGGAATTGACTTCAAGCTTTACATTTTTCCAAATATTTGTAAAACATCCAACACGTACTTGGGGATTTTGTTAATGCGAAGACAATATTTCAGTATTTCTTGATGCGCTCCATTGAATGACTAGTTAGGAGATTGTACCCACAAACTAATTTCAGAAATGACAGCAAACATGTAATTTCACCACAAATAAAATTCATATAATGTAAATAATACTTATCCATGCCTGTACAACTGGTGTGTCCTACAGAGATAGGATAAAGTAGGTCCACCATAAGTTCAGTGGCTGAACATGTGGATTACAGTAACTTCGGCGTGTGAATAAGTAAGGTTCATGCGCATTTTGGTAAGATGTGGAAATATGTTGGGGGAATTCCGGAGTCGTAATGTGACAGACCAAAACTATTTAAGAGTTTGAAGGTGACTGATTGAATTTTAACACGAATTCACAAGCCATTCACGAAGGTATCTACCCGATTTTTCAGACGGCAAGCTTCGAACACTGTGGTCCAAGTACCTGGGTAATTTCCTAAAATTTCAAGAGGATTCCCACTCTCTCAGCGTTCGAAAATCTAACAGTCAGTTTGAAAATGATAAAACTTAAGTG